TCTTCCCCACCTGTTTTTAATTTTGTTATTCCCCCGCCTTTTGTTATAATCTTTTTAAAAAAATAGCGTGTACATTTTTCACCTTCTTCCAACTCTTGTTCTTTACTTCTAAGTATTACTCCTTTACTTTTTTCTTGTTCATAAGCAGACATTACTCTTTTGATTTCAATTATTTCTTTACTAAAATCAAGACCATTGTTTAAAAGATTAAAATATCGTTGTAACCTCTTTTGCAGCCCCACGATGCACCTCTTTTCCTTTTTTCTCTTCTCTTTGCCCTTCTTTCTAAAAAACGTCTGAGTCCTACCCTTCACCATTTCCCACCACAGTGCTTGTGAGTCAAAGAAGTCTTGGAGAGTCTGCCATTGGCTAAACTGCTCCCTGTATTCTTTGACTATCTCCTCATCCTGCAACAGGGAGCAGTTTAGTTTCCACATCCCTCTGCCTACTGTCACGTCCGTGGTTAGTGCGAGGGTGCAGGATAGCATTGCGTGATCAGAAAAGTAAACGGGAGTCAATCTAGCATCAGTTGGCGGGCATTCACGTGTAAAAACATAGTCAATGCGAGAGGCTTTGGTGCCATCACCACTGATCCAGGTGAAGCCCTCCTCTCTTGGATGCAGACTTTTAAAACAGTCAACTAGTTTAAAATCTCTGACTAAGCTTTGCAGTAAAACTGATGTTTTGTCCACTCTAAAATCATCCCCCGTTCTTTTCCTATCTGCTCTAGTTAAAACACAGTTAAAATCCCCTGCTACTACCAGAGGAGCCCTCCCCAGCATGTGGGGCTGCAAGTCCTCTAAAAGCTCATACCTTTCATTTTTTTCCGTAAAACCATATACATTGCACACTTTAAAATCCCTTCCTAAAAAAGTCATGTTTGCTAAAAGTGCCCGTCCGTCCCTCACCACTGTGCTGCCCTTTACCAAGATATTTGGATTTTTAATCAGTATAGCGACTCCATCGTTTCGATTAAAATTTGACCCACTCCATATTGAGGGTCCAGAGGTCCACCTGTCTTCCCATTTCCTGTACTGGGTTAAAAAGGGCAAAGCACACTCTTGTAATAAAAACATATCTGAATTACATGATTTTAGGAAGGTAAAAATGCTCTGTGCTCGAGACGTGGACCTCACACTTCTCACATTGATGGTCGAGATTGTGAGGGCCATGAGCAGTATTAAATAGAAAGGCATGAAGCTTAAAACATACATTTTTAAAAGGTTACAGTTTTAAACAAATAAAATCATAGAATTCCCTGTGCCTCCTGCCCCTCCCTTCTCCCATGGGGACTGGGTTCAGGGGGGCAAGAGTTTGACACCTCCGGATTCACAGAGCTGAACTCTTGTGACTCTTTCGGTGTCGATGTTCTCAGCTTGAAGTGCAGAAAAGAAACTTCATTGGGGGATTCTGAGGGCCACAGGCGGTCCAGATCTTCCGGGGAGGAACTATCTAGCCGATGTGTGGCCCTCGGTCTTTTCTCCACTGTTATGCACAGAGGAGATCCCGCAGTTCTCTTCTGCACTTGAGCATTTGGGAGTGAAGATTCAACTTCACTCCCACTGGAGGGCATACTCACCTCCGAGACGGTATTGAGGGAGGAAACCGTTTCGTCCTCTCCGTTTTCTGTTTCTTTGCCTTTGTCTTGCCCGGGAGTGGTTCCCTCCCCCTGTTCCGTTTCCATTTGTGACTCCGCCCCTGTGGCCGCCCCACTTTCTCTTTCCTGACCAATCCCTGAGGCTGGCTGGGAATTTGAAATTCCCGCCAAAACCTCAGGGATCACCTCCTCCTTCCTTTGTTCTTTCCTTTGATCTGTTTGTGGGGCGGCCATTTTGTTGCTTTTAAGTTTGTTGGCAAAACTTTTCGGGCAATCTCTGTAGAGATGGGATGACTCCCCACAAAGGTTGCACTTTCTGCCATTGTGGCACTCTTCAAAGGTGTGCCCAATCTCTCTACACTTTCTGCAAATTATTTCCTGACATGCCTCGGCGAGATGTCCAAGTTTGCCACATTTACGGCATAGCTTGGGCATCCCTTGGTAGTGAATGTAGCCTCTATTCTCCCCCAACACAATCATTGATGGTATTTGACTCAGGCCATGGTAGCTGTTGGGATCTGCCCATTGTTGTATGGGCACTCTCCACGCACAGCTCCAGATACCGTCTTCGTCTAAAACCTTGACTGGTTGTCCGCGAATAGAGCAATATCTTGCCAACCACACTACAATGTCTTCTCCACTCACAGTTTCATTAAACATCCTGACAATCACAACTTTCAGTGAATTATCAGTCAGCTTTTCCACTGTGAACATGGAGAAATTGGCTTTGCATGTTTCAAAACGAGACCAGAAAGTATTCAGCAGAGTAGCGGATGCAAAACTTACATCAAAACCCCGATTTTGGGGCAGAGTCAACAAACAGTTTATATCCATTGCTTTAAAACCTAGAGTCTGTTGGATGTACTTCCGTGAAAAATCCAATCTAGAACAAGTCAGGAGAGTACCATCCTCTTTTGGCTTGAAATTAAAACGCACGCTGTGGTGCCTCCTCATGCCGGCACGAGCAGCCGACATGTTGGAGGCACCACCAGCCCGCTGCGGCTAAAATCCAAACAATAAGTACACAATAATAAATAAATTAAAACCTGCTTACCTTAAAACCAGAAGATTCCTCGCAGAACGAGTCGTCAATAAAAAAGCCGCTTGTCACTGTACCTCCTGAAGGGTGTATGTCCCGTGTGACAAGCAACACACGAGACCAAGTCCAACAAGAGGCGATCGCTGTCTCTACCTTAGGACCAGACACTTGATCTTAGCCAAAAGGCCGAGAAGCGATGACACAATGACGCAGAGGCGGGGGAGCCGGCAAAAGCCACGCCCACCTGGGCCGCGGCGAGAGGGTCTAAGGTCGCCAACAAACAAGCTCAGCTCAGATTGGTTGTCACACCGAAAATGGATCACAACAGAGTGCACAACACGACACTCTGGAGTGCAACCTGGGATTTTGGATCATCAACATTCTGCCCTAAAAGTGAGCGGGCAGACCAAAGTGTACGTCGTAGAGACTTGAAACTCTGACGGATGCTAGTACCCGCCCGGTCTACAACATCACCAAGGCTCGCCCCGATCGGCCCCAGGGTGGCGCTGCAGCGATCAAAAGTACGAAATGGCTCGTAACTTCTCGACCGTCCGTCGCAGACCCAAGTGTCTTACATGACCGGAATCCTTGGCTCGGGCCGAACAAGATGCACGCCTCAGATTGGATGGTCGCGCTGGCGAGATTTTCGGGTATTTTGGATTTTCTGAAAAACCTACTTTTGCACACTAGTCCTAGGTTTTTTGCCCGATCTGACCCAAACCGGTGCAGAAAGATTCTCTGGAGTCTGACTGCCAACAGTGATCGTGAAAAAAGTCGGAATTTCCATTCGCGTTGGCGACCGGACGCCAAAACGTTGGGAGTTGGCGAGGCGGGCTTTACTTAAATGGCTATAACTCTCCAACGGAATGAGACAATTACACCCAACTCGGTACACCTGTGTACGGGCTCAGCCTGTGGTCACGTGAAAAGGTATGCGGCGACTGGCCACTTGGTGGCGCTGTAAACAGAAAAAACAACAACATGAATACGGCCATAGACGGCTGTATATCACGTGATGTTTCACACATGCACAAGGTATTCATACCACATGATAGACCTCCTCATTATGAACAACTTTGCCTCCAGGACAACTGCTGTGAATCAAATCGTTTGTTAAATATTGGAGATTATTTGAAGAAGAATAAAACAAATCCATTTAAACAAAAAAGAAAAAACCTCCTTTCACAAAGGTTGTTTTATATCTCCCGATCAACCACTGCAGTTAAAATTATCTGGACTTCCTAGGTCATCAACAATCAGAAGAAGAAGAAGAAAAACATAAGTGGAACTTTAACAATCTGCTCTTTTAACCAGTGTGTCCAGGGGAGAGCGCGAACGCAGTCCCCCACTACCATAAATTATGCAGTCGAGATTCCCACATTTGGGGAATTCGCAGGGGTCAGCACAACCGGAGTGCAATGGCCAAGCCTCGCCCTGGGTGAACCACCTTCCTGATCATAGTGTCTCCCCTGCCAGGTAAGTATGAATTCCCAGGCCTTCAGTCAGAAGCACCCTGTCCCTCTTCGCAATCCTCACCAACGGTTTGACAATCAAACACACACACACACACACCCCTGATTCAACTCATCAGCTCGTTAGTAAAGACTCCAAGAGATAAGAGAGACATCAAAAATGTGCAGTGACGGGCTTTTTTGTTGTTTTTTCATGCTCCGGCTCCGTGAGCCAAAAATCTATTTAATACGCAGTCCCCGGATAGTGGACGAATCAGATATTAAACGGATAGGAACAGAGTTTTTTTTTTTTACACCACGATTCTACCTTTACTAGTATAGTATATGATCACCTACAACACCCATACACGACAATACACACTACTTCCATTAACACCTGCTGCCACATAACACCAAAACATTTCTTTCATTGAACACTTTAGGGGGGTGCACCGTTCCCAGAAGTACTGCAATACCGGGTCGATGCGTGGAGTGAACGGAGCAAGCCCCTATTCCATCTCCCAGCTCCAAAAAGCAATTTAATATATGGTGCCCGGGTAGGGCACGTCTCAGATATTAAACTGATAAGAACAGATTTTTCTTTTGAACAGTTTTATTGTCACAGTTTTCACAACATACAACTTACAAAAACATTACAATTTTTAAATAAAAAACCACAGTGGAATCATAAAAAAAAAGAAATAATAATTGTATATGCATGTATGCATGTTTGTTAAAAGTCCTTGTGCTTGTTTTTTGTTTGTAAAGTCCATGTGTGTTTTCAAGAGTCTTTGTGGTGCTGTTGTTGTTGTTAAAAGGTGTCAAAAACCATCTTTAGAGGATAAAAATCAATCATAAAATAAAAATAAAATGTTAAAAAAGGAAGTCATCTTTTGTGCGGAGTGAGTCCTTATCAAGATTTCCCATCACTCCTCTCTCCGGAACAGGCAACCGGCCCAGCGTTTCCAGTGCCCAGCGGAGGTCCCCTCCCTCCGGTCCGCTGGCCCGCTGTTCCCGTAGCCGGCGTTGGTGAGGGTGCATCTACGGGCGGCCAGGTACGGCGGTGGCCGGGACCTCTTTCGTGCGACCGCAGCCCCCCCATCCGAATAACGACGTCCGGCGCCTCCTGCAGCGTTGATCTTACAAGTTGCTCGCACGCGTGGAGGGGCACCGTAACGCGTTTCCCCACCAGCAGGTTTCTGGTGGTCCAGATGGCATCCTTGATATGGTTGAGGGTGAGCCAGAGCGAGGTAAATTGTTTCGATGTCATCTCCTTCAAGCCCTGACCCACCCCCAGGATGGCGAGCTTGTATTCCATCTGGACCCCACCCGCTGGCAGGCACGGGAAAACCAGGGGGCTGGTCCTGGTCCACAGGTCCCGCGCAGCACGGCACTCCCAGAGCAGATGCCGCACGGTCTCCGGGCAATTGCACCCGGACCGTGGACAGGTTGAGTCTTTGGCCATGCCTCTGGAGTGCATAACCGCCCTGACCAGGAGGATCTCATGGGCCACCATCCACGCTAAGTCCTTATGCCTGTTCCGGAGAGCAGGGTGGGCCGCGTTTTTCCATGTTTGCTTTGCCTCACCAAGGGTGAGGCCTGGGATTGGACTCACTGATTCCCGGTCCTGCACAGAAGAGACAAGAGCCTTGTGATTAGTTAAAACTGTGACATCTAAATCCTCTAAAACATGCTTCTTTAAAAACTTCTTAATAAAACCGTATTCTTTTGGGAGGTTAAAAGTGTAGACTTGGAATTAAAGCCTCTTTTGTTTCCCCGTTATTATTTGATTTACGGGACCGGACACCAGTTATCTTGCCAAGAAAGATTTTTATTCTTATATGTCAGGAGAGAAACTTCAAGATGTTGTATTCATGCCAGGTCAATGCGTTTCCGTGTTTCTCTGAGGTAGTACAGTAAGATTGTGTTTTTATGCATCACAGAGAGTCTTACAGCTTCCTTGTAAGGTAACAAAACATGTTGCTCTGAGCTTCTTAAAATTAGAACGTATGTCATACGTATACGTTATGTTTAACATGTCACAATTCACTTCCATATTAAGAACTATCCTTGTTGTTTACATCTGTGATACACTTACATCAGTCGAACATGTTACATTGTACACACCCCATAGCAAAATATAGCTTCCCCCTGTCTGACATATGATCATCTCATGCTTCCATGCTATCTATAGTTTCCCTCATGCGTTCAACTCATGCTTTTGAAACTCCATAAGATAATACAACTGATTATGAATATTAATAAAGAATAATAATACAGATACCTAATATTTAATAATGAAATAATATTAAAAGATGAAATTTTGAATCTTCATTTCCCTCCACTGGAACTACGGCCGTCAGTTCCACACCATCATTCCCAGGTGGCCAACCTATAGAAGTGATAGTGAGGAGAAGAAATAGCAGACCAAGAAAATAGACAGAAAGAACAGAAGAATGGAAACAGGAAAGGAAAAAGAAAAGAAAAGAAGAACAAAACAAAACAAAGAACAAAACCCCAACCCATGTTATGTCCCCGTATACTGTGTGTATTTTAATATCTATATGTATGTATTTAAAATGAACCCCAGTCATCTAAGAAAAGAAAAACTAATAAGTCTTCTGTCCGTGCCTGAACTCATTAATTAATTAACTCGTTAATTAATTAAATCCTCCAGTTCCAAACCAAAACAAGAAATTAAAATAAACGTTGATGTTAAAGGATCCTATCCCTTGGGGTTGAAAATCAGTAAACGGATGTTCATTGTTTGTGAGGTAGTGTAGAATGTGTGAAATCTCTTATTTCACGCTGTATGTCCCATTCTTAGTTCTATCCATTTCGTTAGAAATAATCAATTTGACAGGTTTGGTACTTTTCCTTCTAGTAACACATATAAGGACTTGGATTATTAGCATGAACACAAAAACTCCTACCATAGTCAAAACTATCCAATCTGACCATGATAAATTCCCTAGGATTCGTGGTAGTTTCCTCTCAGACATTAGTTTAGCTACTCCATTTGCTACAATAACATGACCCATTGCTTGAATTCCCTCCTCTTGAGCTGCTTTTACACTCTTTTTAACTATTCTAACCATCTCAAAGAGTTCATAATTCCGTTCTTCTACTAGATCATTATTCCACCATTGTGGTTCTAACTGCAACAATTGCACATGTGGAACATGAATTCCACCCAAGTGAAGAGGATAGAGAATCTCAAGGCAAAATGGATCAGGAGGAATTGGACACAACTTTCCCCCGTATATCATATTTTCACTTATTCCATCATGTAATATACACCACTGTGCTTCTGACACCTGCCATGCACCTGTTGCTTGATCTAAAGGAACTACTTCCCAAACAGCAGAACCATTAAGAGATAGACTAAACATTGTAGAGCATGAGCAAATTACCCACTCATGTTCCTCAACACAACAGTCTGTGGTAGAAATCATTGGTGTATCGCCGTCAGCCCAATATCCATTCCTTCCTAATCTAATTACTGAATTTCCTTGTCTAACACCCATTGATTGGAATTGCCTGACTGTCATAATATTGCGCTTCCCATATTGAGGCCATATCATAATCAAAGGTAACATTCCAGAACCTGACAACGAATTTTCATTAATAGCGATTTTAACTAATGGAATATGTTTAGCAGAAGTCAAATTAAGCTGATTACCGAAAACCACTAACAAAGATTCTGCTATTCGCTCAGGAACTTGTCCCATTCGAATAACTTGAATATCTTCTACCATTTGATCCTTTAAATTCTGAGCTAAAAATAAACACGCCGCACGATGGGTCTCAAAATTAGACGATTTTGTTAATGCATCTGCCAATTCCTTTGCAGCATCATTAAGATGCTGACCCGCTGCTATAATATGTAGAGAACCCTGAAGAGCCTCAGTGAGTCCTTTCCCAGACATTGTCCCCACCCACTGAGTATACTCGCTTAGTTGATTCATTTGAGCAGTATTACTAATTGAATTGACAGAACCAAATACCCCCGCTATGTCTCCCCATATACTTCGAGTTTTACGATTTTTACTACTCAGAGGATTTTTAGAGGTATAATTAGGGATGGCCCGATACCGATACTGGCATCGGGGATCGGGTCGATACTGTCCTAATATACTTGTACTCGTACTCATAAAAATTCGCCGATACCACGCACCGATACCACATACATTTTGCAAAACGAAACTGGCCGCCGCGAGTGCTTTGTCGAGGTGAACTGAGGCATAGGAAAGTATAATGTCGGCGGTTTGGGCTCATTTCAAGAAAAGGGGTGATGACAACAGCAAGGCAGACTGTGAGTTATGTTCAGCTAAGGTGTCGAGAGGAGGGAAAGAAAGTACATCGTTTAACACCAGCAATCTAATTAAACATCTGAAGACGCATCATAGATCTGATGGCCGAGCGCGCGCGCGGGCGGTAATGCACTCACTCTGTGTGTGCGGGTTACGAGAGAATAAAACGATTCGCGGGACTCCCGCAAACTAGAAATATCTATGAATAAAACATAAAAACTAAAAGATTTTTATTCATCTCTTGCAGAAAAGCAACAAGAACAACTACAACAAAATAGAAACGATTTACAGGACAGAGTTTCTATTCATAACATGGTTACAGCGTTGAGCGATGTAGCCAATCACAGACATATGTGTTGATTTCTTGAACGCAATGGCCAATCAGAAGCATTTAAGATAGACTACCCTCACCGCTCAAAACTGACTTTTTTGTTCAGTGCTGAATTCTGTATGCTGGCAAATCCTCTAATTATAACAAACAAAGTGTGGATATTATGAAAGATTCATTGTGCAGTCAGCTTCATTGATAATAACAGAGATGTGTGAGATCGCGATGAACTGTCAGCTTTTAGGATTTATTAAGGGAGCGCACTTTGCGCGCATTCAGTCATGCCAGACCATGCACTAGCCTGCTTGCTTTTATGTTAAATTAACAGTGGTTTGTGTGTTAATACATTTATTATTTTACTAATTTTTATTTATTTTTAGACTTGTTAAAACAAGCAGAGAAGAAAATAACCTTGTCTTCTAACCTGTGTTCTAAAATAGTCGTCTTCTTTTCTGGGAGCCTATTACTTTTGCGGTAGAAATATCGGTATCGGTACTCGGTATCGGCAAGTACACAAATGTAAATACTCGTACTCGTATCGGTTTGAAAAAAAATGGTATCGGGCCATCCCTAGGTATAATATTTAACTTCTTTGTCCAACCAACTTCTTATTTGTGTAAAATTACCACAATAAGACTGATCAAAAACTGTAAGAAGAGAGTTCAAGTTATAATTAATTCGTTGTCGCACCATATGGGCTTCATTTATCAAGGTTTTGGTTTCTTTTGCCAACAAAATACCATGAGCTGGTGCAATAGTTGTATTTGGGCATGTTTGAGCTTTGTTTGATTTTACCGCAGAAAGATAAAAACACCTTCCGATTTCCCCAGTTTCTAGTTCAGTCTCACAATATTCATTCTCATCTTCTGAATGCCATACTCGTACATAATTACCCTTAAATCTTGTTGTTCTTGAGGAAGCATCCCTCAAAAACCCTTCACATGGCAACACTATGGGATAAATACACCCTTGGGTCAATGAATCCCATATTGTAAGCATGTGGGTACGATTCAGAACTAAATTAATTTCCACATTAGTAGACGTTATGAGGTTTAACCCTATAACTTCACACTGTTCTTTGGAACAAATTTCTCGTCTTTGAGCACTACCAGTATACCCCCCGTCTTTTACCGGCCAAATTACTCTGCTTTTGTATATTGGTGGTAAAAGTTACATCCTCCAAAGACGTCCTTACGATATTTAGCAAGGTCTTTATCATTGCGTGGCACCCAATCCCATAATCCCCATTTGGAAATAAAGGGTAGAGTAAAATGTTGGCCAGATTTCAGAGTTGCATTCCGAGTAATTTCTTGAACTCGAGGAGTCCATAAGGCTTGGCTTTCTTGATAAAAATAAGCATACCATCGTCGTTGGGTATCGAGAATAACTTGCAACCATCTCTAATCAATGTCAATGGAATTGATTCCTGAAATGGAAGCAGAGAAATAATTAACATCACTTCTTTGTTCCCAATCTTTAAAACTAATGGATGAACATTGCTCAATCTCAGGCCATAAGCCATCATTATCATCTTGTTCATTCACTAAGCAAGGTTTAACTTGTGACCAATGATACCATCTATCTGTTCCTACACCCTTCCCTTTGAGACAAACACTTGTATCAGTAGTTAGTAGTATCTCATATGGTCCTTCCCATCTAGGCTCTAAACCTTTCCTAGCAATTCGTTTGATCATAACAAAACTGCCTAACTCGGGAATGTGTGGAATGTCAGTAGTGGTGTGTTTTTCATCCCATTGCTGTTGAGCTTCTTGCACTTTCTTATTATTGTCTTTAGTAGCTTTGTCCAGCATTGCGAGATAGCGTCGTAACTTTTCTTGAAACAAAGTAGAGTCTCCTCCTGTTCCCGCAGGTGGCGGAGCATCAGGAGGTAGAACCATTGCTCTTCCAGTCATTAGTTCAAAAGGGGTTAGTCCTGTAACTCGGTTTGGAGTTGCTCTCAAGTTCCACAGAATAGCAGGTAATAACTTATGCCAACCTTGGCCAGTTTGCAGAATGGCTTTGGTCAAAGATGTTTTCAACGATCTGTTCATCCTCTCTACCATCCCTGATGCTTCCAGATGGTACGGAATGTGGAATTTTTGTTTAATCCCCATCAATTTCATTGCTTCCTTCATCAATTTTCCAGTGAAATGAGTTCCATTGTCAGAATCAAGTTCATATGGAAGACCCCAGCGAGGAAAAACTTCTTCCACCATTACTCGTGCTGCAGCTTCAGCAGTACAAGTTTTTGTAGGGAATGCTTCCACCCATCTAGTAAATCTGTCCATGATTACAAGTATGTATTGATACCCTCCACTGGGTGATAAAGGTCCTGTGAAATCAATTTGGAGGTGTGTCCATGGACCTGTTGGTCTGGGTGCATGTGACATTCGCACCTTTACAGATTTTCCCACATTTGCTTTGAGGCATATCAAGCATCTCCTACAGTAATCATCAATGTCTCTCATCATTCTTGGCCACCACCAAGTCTCACTGATTTGAGATTTCATTGCTTTTGCTCCAGCATGTACCTTTCCATGATACAGCTGCATTAGTTCTCTTCTTGTTCCGATAGGCATCACCACTTGTCCTGTTGGAATTCTCCAGATACCTTGATCATCCTCTTTCGCTCCCGCTTTTATCCATTGTTCTTTCTCTTCATCTGTCTCCAGTTGATATGACAGAAGATGGAGCTCAGGATTATCCTTGCTGTTTTCCTTTACCAAGGTAACAGGAGTAAGAGGAAGTAGAGCTGCTTCTCTAGCTGCTGCATCTGCTGCCGTGTTTCCTTGACTTTCTTTGGACTTGTCAGATTGATGTGATTTTACTTTGATCACGGCTGCTTCTCGGGGTAAGTAACATGCTGTAATCAAACGACGAATTATGGAAGCATGTTGTATTTCGCTCCCACTGCTAGTGATAAGTCCACGTCTTTTCCACAGAGCAAGGTAGTCATGGACCACGCCAAAAGCATAACGACTATCTGTATAGATGTTGACTCGATCTCCTTCTGATAGTTCAAAGGCTTCTGTAAGTGCTATAAGTTCAGCTACTTGTGCTGAAAATTTCCCAGAAAGGGCTCCTTTCTTTACAACAGTTCCCTCTCCTTTCACTACAGCCCATCCAGTATGTCGCTTTCCATCAACATAATAACTGTTTTGTTACTTTGTCTGGGTTTTCAAGAGGGATTGGATTAACTGGACCAAGACTATCTTCTTCTACTTGTTTTTCACACTCATGTGGTATTCCCTCATGTGGTTCCAGCATCATTGTTGCAGGGTTAAGAGACGTGTCCCTGATGATTTCCACTCTTAAATCCTTGTTCAACAAAGTTGCTTCCCATTTTGCTCTTCTTGCATCAGTTATGTGTTGATGTTCGTGTTATTCAACAGTGTCACTATACTGTGTGGAGTGTGCAATATGATAGTTTGTGCTCCTATCAGATTCTCAACAGCATCCACTGCCCATGTGGCACCATCGAGGGCTTGTATACATTGTGGTTGCCCAATCATAGTGACAGGAATCTTTGTGGAAAAGTATCCAACTGGTCTGTATCGATCACCTGGTTTTTGACACAGTACTGCTGAATACGTCTCATCTCCTACCCTGGTCCACAAATGAAAATGCAACCGTCCGTCAGGAAGTCCCAAAGCTGGGGCTGAAGTCAGTTTTTCTTTCATAGAAGTAAACGCTTCCTCAGCTTCCGGTGTCCAATTTATCTGTTCGACTCCAGGCTTTCCTCCCTTGTACAGGTCGATGAGGGGGCTGGTGATGCTAGCAAAATCAGGTATATACTGACGACAATAGTTAAAAAGTCCCATTACCTTCCGCATTCCTGTAACTGTTAGAGGTTTTGGAAGTTGTCGTAATGCCTCTACACGCTCTGTTGTCATTCTCCTTCCCTCCACAGATATTTCTTGGCCCAAATAGATAACCTTGGATTTGGCCAGCTGTGCTTTGTCGGGGTTAACTTTGAATCCCCCTTTCCTAAGGGCTTGTAGGACAACATTCAGAGCAAATACATGGCTGTTTTCATCTGGGCTTGCAATTAACAAGTCATCAACATATTGGAGGCAAACACTTCCTGATTTCTCAATTTCAGCTTTTTGCTCCGTTAAGAACTGGTCCAAAGCTCTATGAAATACAACAGGAGAAAGATTAAGACCTTGTGGGAGTCTGTTCCAAACATACTGTTTTGCGCCCACTGTGAAGGCTAATTTCTCTTGAGATCTTTTGTCTATAGGTATAGACCAGAAAGCCGACAGTACATCCAGTACCGTAAAAATTTTAGCATTTCCTGGAATATCATTCAGAATGGTGGCAGGATTGGCCACAATAGGATGCGGTTTTGGTGTTACACTGTTAAGTCTTGTGTAATCAATGGTTAATCGCCATGAGTTATCAGATTTCTTGACAGGCCAGACAGGACTATTAGTGGTAGATGAAGTTTGTCTGATGATTCCTTCAGCTTCCAAGTCTGCCACTATCTCCTCCACGGCTCGTCTTGCTTCAGGTCGGATGGGGTATTGTTTATGAGGGGAATGTATCGGTCCCTCAATAACAGCTGTCTGGAAGTCTGTCAAGAGTCTCAAATTCTTTAAAAACTGTAAGTAAGTCGTGTGCTAAAATATCCCAGAAAGTCAGATAAAACTCAAAGGGGAGTCCGTCCATGCCCGGGGACTTCCCCTTCTTAAAACCCTTTAAAGCTTTTTCCATTTCTAAAAGAGTAAAATCCTGGGATAAAAGCACATCTGGACTCTTAACTTTTTTATCTAAAAACCCTAAAACTTCCTCTAAGATGCCATTGTGTACCTCTTTAGTGCTGTATAAATTACTGTAAAAACTTCCAATTTCCCCTAAAATCAGATCAGTTGTATTTACTTCCCCCCCTCTAAAAGTTTTTAAAGTATTGATCGACCCTCCCCGAGCTATTGTCTTTTTTTAAAAATACCTGGTACACTTCTCTCCTTCTTCTAACTCCCTTTCTCTACATCTTAAAATAACACCTTTGCTCTTTGTTTCAGACAGGTCTGACATTTCTTTCTTTACTTCTTTTATTTCATTTGTAAAATCCAATCCATTGTTTAAAAGGTTAAAATATCTCTGCAGTCTTTTTTGCAACCCCATCATGCTACTTTTTTCTTTATTCTTTTTTTCCTTTCCAATTTGTTTAAAAAACCGTCCTGTCCTTTGTTTCACCATCTCCCACCACTGTGCTCGTGAGTCGTAAAAGTCCTGGAGGGTCTGCCATTGGCTGAACTGCTCCCTATACTCGATAACCACTTCCTCGTCCTCTAATAGGGAACAGTTCAGCTTCCACAGCCCTCCCCCTGCAGTCACACCCGTGGGAAGTGAAAGAGTGCAAGACAGCATCATGTGGTCGGAAAAAAAGAGGGGGGTCAATGTAGCATCGGTCGGCGGGAGGTCCCTTGTAAAAACATAGTCAATTCGAGAGGCTCTGGCACCGTCACCACTGAACCAGGTGAAGCCCTCCTCTCTTTGATGCATTATTTTAAAACAGTCAACTAACTTAAAATCTTTGACTATATTTTGTAATAAAACCGATGTCTTGTCGACCTTAAAATCCTCTCCTACCCTCCTTCTGTCCTTTTTTGATAATACACAATTAAAATCCCCTGCTACCACTAGGGGAGCCCTGCCTAGCATGTTGGGTTGCAGGTCTTCTAAAAGCTCATACCTGTTATTTTTTTCAGTAAAACCATACATATTTAAAATGTTAAGATCCTTACCTAAAAAAGTCAGATTTGCTAAAATTGCCCGC